ACGTTTGCTGCCAAAAATTGGATTTGCTCACATAAGCACTAGCAAAAATGCGATTGCTTTAAAAAAAAGAGATCTATTTTGCATCATGAGTGCTTTTACTCTCTAGCAAATGATTTATGCAACCTCACATACGCGGTTTTGTACTTTAAACGGCGATATAATACCTTGCGACAGGCAATTTTGCACACAAAGAAAAACCAATATATTCGGCAAACCAAGGGACAATTATAGTAAAATTGCGTTCTTAATTTTTCTCTCTGATGTCAGGATTTTTAAAAGAACTTAGAAATTTGAAAGATATGAGTATTTCAAAAAATGATTTAAAAATTTCCGTGCAATATACTTAAAAAAATAGTATGGGTATAAAATGAAAGAAAAGATTCTGTAGAGTTAAAACACATTACATTTTTTGGGGCGCAAGGGACGGGTAGGTATTGAAAATACCCTTTTATAATTTTATCCTTGAATATCCGCGAAATTTTTCAGTTCTTATTTTTTTTTTTTTTTAATTTCATATCTTAAGGACTAACTTTATTAGCTTAAAAAAATAAAATAGATTAAAGCGGCATTTTCAATTCCTATTCGTCCTTGTGAACCCAAAAAAAAATGATTTCATTGGGTTTGGTTTTTTGTATTACTTTGCACTGAAATTTTTTAAATAAATTTTGGAAATAGTCTTGTCTTTGTAATTATAAAGTCTTTTTAAAAAAATCATGACGTCAGAGAAATGCCCATTATATGTAATATGAGGTAGACTTTTATAAAAAAAATTTAAATTTTGCATAAACAAAAGGAATATAGACAAAACTGGTTGAATTAAGGCACTTCTTTTATTTCTGACACTAGTATTATGAACTTATTTTAACCAGAAAATAAATTTGTTGACTTAATTTTCTTTGCATCGAGCCTTGAATACTTAATACCTTGAATTACTTTATCAGATATGTACATGCTAAAGTATTATTAAATGCATATAAATTTAATTACTGTCTTTCGTTTTGTTGCTTATGATATAATTTTCACTTTAAATAAAAAACAACGTTCCAAACTTATTTACTTATTATTTATTATATGGTAGGAGAGCATCTCAAACCATATTGATACAATTTGCAAGTTGTTGAAAAATAATAAGTATCTGAATCCCGGTACTGATCCCGGGATTGAACCAACGACATCCCGAAAATCCCGGGATCGTAAAAATCTAAAAAAATTAACATCCCTAGTATGTACCACATATGTACCACATTCATATTCAATCATAAATTTTATACGCAACGCAGTAAAGCAAAAAAAACAAAAACTAAAACTAAAAAATAAAACAACTAAGTACCCCAACATCACTCAGAAATACTTACACGCACATTGTGTGATGACTGCGAAAAGATGGGGCGTGAACGTGAATGTAAATGTGTAAAGGTGGAAACGCCAAACAGCAAAATATACTAAAAAAAAAAAAAAATGAAAACAAAAGCCTCCAAAGTGAGAAGTGGCTAGCAAGCAGCAAAACAAAAGCAGGTTTTTGTTATTGTGATTTCAAATGCCCGTGGCGGCGTCGGGACTGTTGTTGTGATTTCTATGGTGTTGGTGTGGCATGATCAAGTCGACGTAGAAGCACAGCACAGCAAGGCGCGCGCGTATTGTGGTAGCAAACTGGTTTGCTTTCAACTTGATTGCTGCCGCTTTTTGTGCTATACTCTCTTTTTTATGTATTATTTTTTTTTGCTTGTTCATTAATTTTTTGGTTTCTATTTTCTTTTTTTTATATATAATTTTTATTCCTTTATGCGCTCACTTTCATAGTCTGGTGTTTGTCGTGTGTTTTAAACATTGTAGACTTTCATTGTTTATTAATAATGCTGCCATTGTCGCTGCTCACTTAGTTTCAAATTCGCGGCCGTGTACTTCCTTCCATTTGTATGATTTGTAATATGTACACAACTTACTTGCTTTGTTTTGCTTTTTGTCTTTCTAACTTTTTATCTGCTAGTTTTTTTGGCATTGTATTTCTTATCTTATTTGGTTTTCATTTACTTGAGCTTATCCGTCTATTGATTACAGTTTTCCTTTAAAAAAAAAAAAAACTGACAAGCCTCTTGCAAAATTGTTAGGCTGCGTTTCAACAGATTCATTTAAGTAGAAATTAATTTTAATTTAATTTTTTGTTTAATTCTCAATTGAATTTTTTTCAGTTTCAATAAGCTTTTTACTTAAGTTAGTAAAAATATGGCAGCACCGTGCTAAAAGTGGTAGTATGTGGTTTGTGTACACTGATCAGCTGATTGAACGTATAACATCCCTGAATGTGGTTATTCCGATTTAATTTTTATTTAAGTGAAGATTATAGGCCACTTAAATCAAAATTAACAACAAATTAAAATTGAAACCAAAAATTCAAAAATTAAAATATATTTTCACTTAAATGATTCTGGTAAAACGCAAACTTAGGGTTCTCTTGAGATGTGAGTAGGAACAATTAGAAGGTTTTAGTGCAAATTTTGTGTAGATAATATGTCGACAATTTTTAACGATATTTTAGCAGCATAAGTATTCCTAGCCACATAAGCTTTTATAGATAGTATTGTCGATTTTAATTGTTTTTATTTTATTTATCGATCTTATTGAATATATTCATCAGAGCCGTTATCAATGTCATCAATTAAAAAAAAAAACAGCGCAGATTTTAGAAAAAATAAATATTATTTATTATAATTTGTTTCGATATTTTAGCCACATGCAATATACATAAATAACCTCATAAAAGTTTATCGATAATTTTATCGACTTTTAAATTTATTAATTTAATTTTTGATATCTATCGATCTTGCCATCGATGTGCTTAGCACAACCGTTGTCAATATCAATGTTATACGAATTTTATCATAAAAATATCGATAATGTACTCAACATACTGATATCGAGTTTTCTATCGATGTATGTATTTATCGATTTTTCGATACTCTTGTCTTGCTGCGTTGTGTATATTGTATTCGATACATTTACCGATAATTTAATCGCATGATTTATCGATAAATTTAATCGCATGATTTATCGATAAATTTAGGAATTACATACTCAAGTTTGCTATACATATTTTCTGCTGTGATTATCAATATATTATTATATTTATAATATACATACAAACATACATCTCAAATGTGGTTTGTATCACGGTCGTTTATTATTCGTATTCGTTTTACCACTTCTATAAGTAGAATTTTCGGTACTGGTTAACAATGTTTTTAATATTTTTTTCGATATAAGTGCATCAATTTTATTACTAGTGTCTATATAGTTTTATTATTTAACGTATGTATATATATCTACATACGTACAACTGATATATATATATATATATATATTTATCGATACCGTTATTCATTAATTTATTGATATAGTTGCGTGTCAAGCCGTTATCGATATTATTGTAGATACATATATTTGCCTCTATACCTGTCGATAACATCATCGATATACTATCACCACGTTGGTTATCGATATATTTATCGATATCGGTTTAATAAGCCAAATGAATATTTGCACACGATTTCTTATGCACTTTTGTTTAAAATAAACATTTACAGTAGCTTCATTGCACAGTATCGGCTGTGATAAAACAAAAGACTTAAGAAGCGAACTTCAGCATCGTAAATGAGCAAAGATCAAGTTAATAGAAAAACTCGTTGCAATATGCATATAAAACGAAAGCGTTTTAAGAGTACTTTAAAACAGGATTATTTTGAAATAGAGTTTGGCAACTAGAATAGAATACGCCATTGCGGAAAATTGTTTGAGCAGGATTGCCATATATCTAGAAAATAAAATAATTGCATGTGTATCTAAGTTAAGTAAACTTTTGCATTGTAAGCAAAAAATAAAGCTTTATCTGAAAAGTATTATTACACATAGCTGCCACCTTTTCGAAACAATTCGAATTAATGAAATAAATTACACATGTGTGCATTAAAATAATCAAATAAGGTCTTTAAACTTTAGAAACACTTCGTAGCAAGAATATTTTTGACTAAGGTTGCCACCTGCAATAATTTATGCGTGTAGTATAATGACGCGAATTTTAAAGTTTTCAGTATTTTTTTCTTTTTTTTTCAGTTTCCCAATTTTTAGCGCTAGGGAATAAAATATCCATACATATATGTATGTTGCCGAATAGCCAGTCAGATTACCGCTGACCTAATTTAGCAGCATAAGCTAAGCGTTTAATTTTCTAGTTCAAAAGTATGTTTCAATTTCATGCGAGTTTAAATGGGAACTATTCGCACTAAGTATGACATTTTTTCTTCCTCCTCTATCCCAGCAGGCACAAATATATTTAACATGTAAGATCGTGATTCATGAATCATAACACCTACGCTTCAGTTAAACAGCGCCTGAAAGCTTCGTTGTTTTTATTGTCGATATCCAATTGACATTACTTTTTTTTTATTTTTTGCACACTTCGTATCGAAGTTTGCGCTTGTGTGTTTGGTTACTTTTTTTTATTTTCATTATTAAATATGCGCGAACATGTCTGAATGGCGGCAGCGGTGACCAGCAACCAACGAGCGATGATCAAAGCCAAAGCCAAAGCAAAAAAACGCCAGCCCATTGACGTTGCCATTGAAGTTGTTGTCGCTGAAGTTGACGCGTTTCGAAGGCATGTGATGAATTTTCAATGACTAGGTTCATAGTTACATACATACATACATATGTACATAACGTTTATTTCTACTATATGTAGGTGTATACATTTATTTTTCTGCATACGGTTTTGTTGGCTTACTGCCAGGTCTCATTTGTATGTGCTGTGATCACAAAAATGAGGTTTAGCAAATTTTAGAGTTGCAATAAATGGTAGATATTCTTAAAGTCTACGTTAGTTGCCAAAAAACATACCTAAATACATACATACTTATATGCTTATCGCCTTGTTAAAGTATATTAACCTTTACCCAAGAACCGGAAAAATGGCTAATCATTTTTCTTTTTTTTTAATTTCCTTTCAGAGGGTCGCATTTCATCAAAAGAACTGCCTACCGCTCGTTGGCGTCGTGAGCGTCGCTCGCGTGCCGGTGAATACCCCGCGCTGGGCAGCGCCGCCGCCGCCGCCTCAACGTCGAGCAGCCTCTCGCCTGCTGGCACACCACCGCCACTAACGGTTTGTCCTGGCTTAACATCACCAGTGAGCGCGCATCATCATGTCACCGCAACGGTGCACAGTGGCGTACCACCACCCATGTCTATTATGATGGCTGCAGCAATGCGTCCTCTTTGCGAGTCCACTAATCGTCCAACGCCACCGCCATCGAACTCCTCAGCTGCTGCCGTAGTTGCGGCATATAATCATCAAGGCGGTGGCATGGAGAGTCCCATTGATATGTCGGTATCGTCGTCGACGTTGAAGCATCGATCCTCGCCGCCGCCACCTTATCGCGCGCCATTGCCTGGCTCCACATATGCCACTGCGCTGGCGCGCCCTAGCGTTATCACACAGGCGCCATCGAAGCGCGAACGCGAACGTGAGCGTGGCGATCGCGAATTGCTGGCGAATCGCGAGAATGACAATCGCAGCACTGGTAAGTGTCAGCACAGACAATTTTGTGAAAAATTTATATATTATATATTTAAATTGTTTTTTTTTTACTTCTGTAGAATCCATTTCCATGTGTGAAACGGTGATCGATGAACACTTTCGCCGCTCGCTGGGTCCCGACTATGCCGCACTCTTTGGCAAGAAGTCGCCCGGTCATAATCCAACCACACCATCACCGCAGCCAAGTGCAGCCGCAATGACAACCACAGCTGTCATAAATACGCCAACGCCGACACCACCACCAATGGTCGCGTCCGCGTCGCCAATTGCAACGCAGGCATTGATTGTCGGGCATGCGCCGGCGCCAAGCGCTTTGCCGCCCTATCATGCAACCGCCACCGCCGCCGCCGCCGCTGCTGCCGCCGGCGCACCGCAAGCGCTCATTTCACCAAAGCCAGCAGCGGTCTTGCTCTCTTCGGCCGCCATGTATGCTGCGGCGGCACAGCATTCAGTCACAGCTGAAAGCTTATCGCCACATCAATTGGAGCATATCTCCATTGCTTTGCCGCCACCACAACAGCAGCCACTAGCATTGGCTACTACACAACGCAGTAGCACGCCGCCCAATTTAAATGCACGCGGCCTGCCAGCTCAATCGCCACCACCACCACCACCAACAACAAGCGCGGCGTTGCATTCCTCGCCCCCGCCGCCACCACCACCAACATTCCCACACACAGCGTCATTGCGCAGCCAAACAGCGTTGGAGCCGCACTCAACCAGTAATTCACGCTCGCCGTTGGCAACACCACAGCAGTCGCCAAACTCAACCACTGCTGCGGCAACACCACCACCGCAGCCGCCGTTGCCATCGACTTTTGTGTCCTCCTCGTCTACGCCACCAACAGCGACAGCAACGCCACCACCCATTATGCCGGCGATAATGCGCATCAAAACTGAACCGGGGATGTCGGCAACGAATACGCCACCAGCCTCACCAACCTCAACCTCTTCGCCGACGAGTATCACTGAGGTGAATGCTTCGGTTGATGATCACTTTGCCAAGGCGTTGGGTGATACCTGGAAGAAGTTGCAGGAGAACAAGGAGGTGCGTAAGTGAAATATA